TCACCCCTTATATCTGGCCACCTAACTCCCAAACTGCAATCCCATTTGATTATTATGTGCGGGGCGCAGTTGAACGGGAGACCAATAAATCTCCCTGTAACACCAAAGTTGAACTAAAGCCAAGAATTATCGCAGCATTCTCCAGCGAGAACCTCCAAAAGATATGCTGAAGATTCTGAAGTCGTCTGGAGACTGTGGTTGAAGCCAATGGCAATTTTATTGAATAAATTTAATCTTTAGTATTTCAAGATATTCCTGCATAATTTTCATAAATATATTTGTTAAAATGAGATGTCAGTGTTATTTTCATTTTGGCCTAATTTAGACGTCAATTCACCTATCGCGTCCGATAGTTCGCCAGTCACTTCGATGGGGCATAATGCATATCAAGCTTGTCTCACAAGATCAATTATGACTGAGTAGTAATTCCTTCCACATTGCATGCTCCATATTTTCAGCCTTGTGCTGCATCTTAGGTACGCATAGAAAATTACCATTTACCGGGTACTTCGACGTGATATAATGGTATAGCGAAGGAAACGGCGAATTAGCTCGTCAAACCAAGCGACAGTATGTTGCGTGTATCCTACGACGGAGAACGTGGCGAAAAAGAAAGTTATTTACCGAAGAAAGGGGCACGTATTCTGTATATTTATTGTATAAAAATACAATCATGGCACAAGGGCATGTATTCTGCATAATATGCTGAAGACGGAATATTTAAATTAGAAACAATTCAGTTGCAGGAGTCACCATAAAAGTAATTTGATATGCTTATATTGTGCGTCCTCTCCCAGTTGTCGACGAATGGAAATAATGCTCGGACGATAAAAGCAGTTGGTGTTCTCGAATCGGGGAGAAAGTGAGAAAATTCGTGTATTTTTTGCTGCCACGGTCATCTGAGAGAGAGAGAGAGAGAGAGTTATTTTTCTGACTGGTTACGTGCATTGTGCTTTGTGACATAGTACCTGCGAAACGAGATTTCGGCATTTCTTTCTGTCCCTGATATTTAAGCCTAAACTTACAGTGATTTGTTCTCTGCGTAATCTACGACAAATATTTCCTTTGCAATTCCAGAACTCTTACAAATTGTTAGCAGTATTTTCTCGCTAGATCAGTTATAACTGAATAGCGAGTTCGCTCTTCACTGGGTGCTCCCTATTTCCAGAGATTAAATAAACGGTTCAGTTCGGAATTCACGCAAGCTTCGTGGGATCGACTAACACCTGAAGAAGTTCATAGAGCTCAACAGTCGAAAGGTTTTGATAAAAACAACAAAAATGAGGACAATAGTCCAAAACGTAAGTAATGTATGATGCGCCATGTCATGTATACAGGATCAAATCATCCTCATTCGGTTTCTATTCCAATGGTAGAAAACCCCAGATTGCTTCTTTTTGAGGAGGACGACATTGTGGTACAGAACCCCTGGAGACTTTTCCACTGATTACAACAATGTCAACTGTTTTGATTCATCCGTTATCTACCCAACATATCCTCATAATCAACATTTATTTTCTCCTCTTACGTCCATGCAACAACCTCACTTAATAACCTTCAGCCTCGAGTGGCTCTCGTGCCAAGTATTGAGAAAAAATTTCAGTAAAAAAGAAGTTTTTTGTTAAGTTTAATATTCAGGAATTTATATAGAATGCTAAAAATCTGTGATTGCATGCGTGCTTGTAAGGTGCCTCCGTCCAGTGCATAGTGATTTATAGACAATTCTTTGAATTAAAATATGTTAAAGTTAAAAACAGATGCAAAGAGATCCCCCTTTTCTGTTTCGTCCTATTATTTATAGAGTAATTATTTATATCTCAGAGTTCTTTAAACAATCAATATTTTAAATATTAAAAGAAATAGTTTTTGTCATAAATATTTTCAAGTGAATATGATTTTAAAATATTTTTTGGCATATTAAAAAATATTTTTAAGTTAATCTGATTTAAAGTTAAAGTTCATCCTGAAAGTTTTATTTCTATGAAATGCTGTAAACAATCAGTAAAACGTTAAACATGAACCTGTAAACCGAACCAATGATGACACGAATGAATTGAAGTATTTATTATTTATTATTTTTATTCATAATAAAATTAACCTTCATTTCAGTGGAATGTTAAAATCAACTTCATTGTTTTATAACTTGAACCGTCAGTGACCAAAGGCTTACGGGTAGTCTAGTTATTTAATATAACTACGAAAATAAACAGTACTATAAAATCATTATTGTTAATTCCAGAAACATCAGATTTTGAACCAATAAAAACCTGGTCAGAATGACAATTCATAAAATCCGATATATCAATAATTCGTTGACAAGGGCTGAGATATGCTGGGTCTGCTTCTAATGGTCGAAATACACTGGTGAAAATTGGGTTCTATACATTTAAGCGCCACGCATCGGTTCCTGTTTGATTGAAAGAATCGGAGCTTCTTGCCAAAAGATAACAAAAGCTGTCTCGTTGATTCTGTAAAAGACGTGAGCTTACCTGACTCGACACTTGATACCGGTTAATATATATTAAAATACCCGATCGAAACCCTTTCACATCCACATCAGAAATGGCTCCTCTCTGTCTCGACTCAACTCCCAAAATCATTAATCACCAACACTCTAAAATTACCTCAATGGGTTCAATTGTCAATCGCACAATTTATTTAAGGTAAGAACTCTATTTCTCCAGATATATTATCTTTTTGCTAATATATTGTATACTCTTATAAAATCACATGATTTTTTATTTTATTTTATTTTTATTTTTTTGGTGAAAGAGTTGGATGAGTCTAATGTTGATTACGAATCTGATCGTTCTGATGAGAAAAGAGCTCCCGAATCTGTTGGTGAAGGCCTCAGAATCAACACAGAGGCCTACATCAAGTACCTACAAGAGGCAGTGCTGCTCTGTGTCAAGAAGGTGGCTGCTGGAAGATTCTCTGTCTAGCAACAGGACTCTGCACCACGCCACACAAGCATGAGAACCCAGTCATGGCTGTCAGACAATTTATGCGACCACATCACCCCTTGCACCCCTTTGATTCATTTTTCCCACAGCTGTTTTTGTTTCTTTCTCTAGTCATTTATTTAAACTATTTATTCAAATGATATCGCAGTTTGAGAAAAGATACTTGTACTCTAAGATGAAATGAATATATCATTCAACAATTATAAAGCAATTTAAAACATATGTTTTAATATATCTAAATCAGTGTGCCTCAGTCTTTTCTTCTTTGTGACTCATTTTTGGTGTTAGAAAAATGTCAGACTCACATCAGCTCAAATAGAAATTCTATGTACTTTAGAAGAAATATATTTCTTTTATAAAAGCAAAATGTAATAGAAAATATAAACTCTGACAAATGGCTACACTGCTCCCTGTGCCTATCTACCAGCTTGTCAAATCGGACTTCCAATCCTAGGTTCAAGTTCGGTGGTAATCTGAAAATATAATTTATTATAAGAAGAAAACATCGAAAATTTTAATTAGATAATTTCTGAAATATTTGTTTTTAAAAAATATTGTAAAGCAGTTTTTATTTTCATAATTTTACGCCTGATGAAAAAAAAGTAAATAGAATTTCAAAGCCCACCTATTTTTCTTAGGCCAACACTAGGCCTATTTTAAAAATGTCGCAGGCCCATTGTGGGCTTAAGGGCCCATGTTGATTATCATTGATCTAAACTGAATCTTTATCTCTTTGCTTGAACGTATAATGTAGACAGCGAGTTGAAGGTTTTCTTGCCACAATTTGTAAATTTTCTTGTGGTCACTGGAAAATCAAAACTTATCACGTTTTGTTTACTTTTCTAGTATGAGCAATGGACACATCGGGCTATTAACGCATAATTCTTATAAACGTTTAACTTCTAAGACTTCCCGATAACAGTTCAGTGCTACGCTTATAATTATTTTTGCAATAAAAATCAAGAAAATATAGTTTAAAATGTACTTAAATCACGTCTGAAATCTCTCAGATACGTAAATTAATTTATTTTTAATCATTTCACTGCCAGCAAGGCGATAATACCACTAAGACAAAATGGGCAACTGGGAGTGAAAGAGAATCAAAGGACTAGAGAAAGAAGTGGAAACCCAATCCCAAGCAGGAAACAAGGGATATAACTCTAAACTCTGTTTAAAAGACCAGGAAGGCGTGTGAACCGGACGATAGGCGAACCTGTCTATTTCTGATTTTCAGTTGAGATGTTAGCAATAGAGAGCTGCAGTAGACATTAGATGGAAAAGAAAGCTCAATCCTAAACACGAGATAAATCTCCGCTTTTGCCCCAAACACCTGGGAGGTGTGTGAATAGAAAGATGGGGGAATCCTGTCTAGTCCTATTGAGGAAAATTAACTACCGAATTTGACGGCATACAAGACGCAAGGGTGTATAAGATGCACCCCAGTTTCTGCAGGGCAAATCAAGAAAAAAAAAAGTAATTAGTAAATTTTAGCTGTCATCTAGTGGTCATGAGTTCAATCCTTGAGTCTAGTATTGAAACACCAATTCAGCAGGAATAGACAATAACAGATACCCCAGAGACAAAACTATCAACAGGTTTCCTTTATCAGCCAATGGACAACTGATGGCAACCAGAGGATACTTTGTTGAAACGTTTTGTCAATAATAACATCCATATTAACTAAAATGTGACCAATAGTTCGAAATAATACAAAAATATTGACAATTGCTTAACTCAAAAAAAAAAAATGAAATTTTAAAATAAAAACACATACTTCACCACAAATTGGTGACCTCGCTTGTCAGTCATTTGGAATAACATTTCCTTGCACTAGTATTTGTGTATCTTGCTGGAATGACCTCATCTAGTTGCTATGTTATATTCTCCGTCTGATTCCTTTCCTCACATTTAGAGCAAACTGGAATGGATTGAATGGAATATAACAAAATCAGTTGTTAGATTGTCGGAACAAAGCTTAGAATGTTAACGACACTTCTCAAAGTTAGAAACAATATTGCTCTTACGATTCTTGTGGCCTTATGGCCATATCACGTTGAAAGACCAGTTCCCGTACGATCACCGAAGTTGAGCAACGTCGATCCGTGTCAATACCAAGATGGGTGACTGCTTGGGAATACCAAAGCGCTGTAAGCTTGGATGTGCGAGTGACGTATATGATTACGGAAACATCACGTTGAAACATCGCTTCTCGTACGACCACCGAAGTTAAGCAACGTTGAGCCTGGTCAATACCAAGATGAGTGACTGCTTGGGAATACCAAGGGCTGTAAGCTTGGATGTGCGAGTGCCGTATATGATTACGGAAATATCACGTTGAAACACCGCTTCTCGTACGATCACCGAAGTTAAGCAACGTTGAGCCTGGTCAATACCAAGATGGGTGACTGCTTGGGAATACCAGGGGCTGTAAGCTTGGATGTGCGAGTGCCGTAGATGATTACGGAATCATCACGTTGAAACACCGTTTCTCGTACGATCACCGAAGTTAAGCACCGTTGAGCCTGGTCAATACCAAGATGAGTGACTGCTTGAGAATACCAGGGGCTGTAAGCTTGGATGTGCAGGTGGCGTATGTGATTACGGCACATAACGTTGAAACACCGAAGTTAAGCAACGTCGAGCATGATTAGTACCTAGATGAGTGACAGCCTCGTAATACCACGTGCTTTAAGCTAAGATGTGCAGTAATGGAAAATGCCTCGTTAGTATTAATCGGAGAGCCGATTTCCAATTCTAGTTTGGTCCGTTATATTCACTTGGTAAAGTTATGAACACATATCTTCTCACCCCGTTATGGGTTAATTAGTAAGACTAAATCACGGTTATTCCCCAACAAAAAGTTCTTACAATCTAATTTTTCTGGCTTTATATAACTAACAAACGGTTGTTGCATCGTAAAAAATTAATATATGAAACATTCACCCTGAATAACGGCAGTAATGCGACGTAGAATAGAATTTGCCATATACTGAAATTGTTGCGTCGCTATATAGCAAAACAAGTTCTGAGTTGTGTTTGTTGGGTGTGACAGCAAGGACTTTAGTGTGGTCTGTAAAATATTCCTGCAGGCAATTTAGTGAAGTCTGGTTTAAATATGCCAAGCAGAAGGGTTACGACAATGCCTGTAAGTCAGCTGAATACACCTAGAACCACTTTCCAAACCCGTGTGCAAGGTAGCTAGGGCGTTGTCCCATCTGGAACAAATCATCGCCACTTTGACACTAAAGGGGTGTAAATGGCATCAAACATGATTTGTGTATACAGCACGTGTAAAGAGTGCATCCATTTTTACTTATGGTTCTAGCAACTGATTTGTTTTTTTTTTGTTTTTTTTGTTTTTTTTTACAGTTTATTAACCTTATATAGGTTGTTTAGTACCGAAACCTATTTCATATTGTAGGATGTTGATTACAGTGTCCGGTGTTACCAAGCGGTCCCTCATCTAAGTATTGACACTGCTTAACTTTGCTGATTGGCTGAGAGCTGGTGTTTTCAACGTGTAGGTAGGGTTCTTGCAAATTTCAACAGCACTTCGCAGATTGGGTCATATTGCACAATACTTTGCAGGTAGGCGGATTGTATTATGCTCTCCTCTATAAATGAATTCGACCGTTTGAACAAAAGAACTGGAAACGGATCTTTTCTGACGAAGTGAAACGACGTCAGTTCTTCGTCTTCCAATAATGATGTTCTCTTACCCGGCGGAGAAGTAGTAACCAATTATGTTCTGACAATTATAGGACTCTTGTTAATTAATTTCAGAATCCCATGAAACAAAAGAAACTCTGTAGACGAAGGATTTGAGCGTTACATCGTTGAATTGGAATATTATTCGATGCAAATTCTTTCTTTGTTTGCAGACGTAGGGTTATACCCCGTTTAAATACAGGTTCTTGTTAGATCACCGAAGTTAAGGAACGCAGAGTCTGTTCAGTATCTAGATTAGTGTCCGCTTCGAAATGCCAGGAGTTTTAGGCTTTGATTTGCTGATGGTGTAATTGATAACGTCTCGGTATTTGGAATCGGAGAGTCGAGTTTCAATTCTAGTTGAGTTCGTTGTATTCATTTACGTGCAAATAAACTTGATAAAGATTCGAATCTATCTCCTCTTCTCCAAGCTATTGGTTAAGACTGGCATAAGCACATCATTATTATGTTCCCACCATTAAAAAAGATTCTTACGATCTAAAAATATGCCCTGGCTAAACTGCAAAAGTTTGATAAACCATAAAAGAATGAAACAGATCTTCGTTTAGTGTTTAACATCCTTGCTGGCAGTTCAAATATTGATCACTTTTAGGTCACCACAGATTTAACCTACTGCTATTCTCAAACTTATATATTATTAATCTTGCCTCAGTAAAACAACGGTTATCGCCTTGGAGAGAGAGAGTGCCACGTTTTCTTTTGGTTCCAGAATTTATTACTTGGTTAAATATAGTTAAATCCGATCAGCGTACTAGTATATCCGCAGCTACAATATCAAAAGTAGTGTACCTGTAACACTGGAGCAGTAGACGCGATTATACGCTGGTAATCGCGTATAGATCATCCGGCTCAATCCACTTCAACAAGAGGAGAGGATCACGTAATCCAATGTACAACGTCTTTAATTTTTTTTTATGGCATTCTTCTTTTATGTGCCGTATCCTTTCAGATCATGGCCCTTCACATCTTTCTCTCCCTTAATCAGTTATCATTGTTATTTCTCCCAGAACCTGTTCTATCATCCATTTACTCAAGCTCATCAAGTACGTTTTGTGCTGCTTTCCTCTGTCCCTCTTTCATTTAATCTGCCCTGTGAGTATCAGGTTTTCCAAGCCTTCCTTCCTCATTACGTAACCCAGAAATTTCAACTGCATATTCCGGACGTTAAATATAAGGCTCCTTTTTGTTTCTATTCTTTCCCATACCTCGTCGTTTCTCACATGTTCGGCTCATGGTATTCTCAACATCTTTCTGTAGAACTAAATTTCTGTTGCTTCAAGTCTCTTCTTCATCTTTGAGAAGATTGTCCAGAATTCGGTGCCATACAGGAAGAGAAATATTACGTAACTTTTCAGTACCCTTTCCTTTATTTCTAGCAAAAATTTTCTGTCTCTTAATACTCTGTTTAACTTTAGTCATGCATCTTTAGCCGTCCCAATACGTCTTCGAATCTCAGTGTCGCAGATTCTGTCCACTTCCCAGATATCTAAATTACTGTACTTTTTTGATTTTGCTATCCCCGATTTGTAATTTGCATTTTGGGCTGTCCCTTTTGCTGATAACCATGCATTCTGTCTTCTTGTAGTTTATACATAGTCTTTTCTTCTCGCTTTCCTTCACTACTTTCTGTAGGACGTTTTGTAGTTTCCTTTCCGAGTCTGCTATCACGGCTTCATCTGCATATCTTATATTGTTAATAATTAATCTTGGTAGGGCTTCTAATTCTGTCAGAATTGCCTCGTTGTATAGTTTCAATAAATCCGATGAGAAGACACATCCTTGTCTTACACCTCTTTCTATTTTTGCATATCTGCTGAATTCATTTTCTGTCCGTCTGTAGGCGGTTTGCTGCCAGTATTGTTTTAATGTCTTTCCTGAATATGTCAAGGTTACAGAGAAGCTGTAACAGATCTTTGTGTAGCACTTTATCGAACGCCTTTGCATAATCTATAAAGCACAAGACCGCCTCCTTCTATATTTGTATTGCTCTTTATGATAACATATAAAACGTTCAAATCTCTGATCTCTTAATGAGTCCAGCTTGCTCCATTACGGTTTTCAGCTGAAACTAGTTTAAAAGTCCGAATCGTAGAGTGGGTTTAGATACGTGAATTATTAAATGTTTTTAGTCCGATTTATTCATATCTTTGTACTGCAGTGTATATTTTCGCTCAGATTTAACGTTTAAAATATACTCCACTGCTCTGGGATAATGTTGCTGGGTACATCTGAACGCCTTTTTACAATAACGATAATAATTTCGATATGGGATATGAATTATTCATTTTGTTATTGTCTTACGTTCTTTATGCCTCGCGTTTTTCCCCTCGTGACCTCAACAATGGGAGACGAAAGTACGTCATTAGACCTAATTGAACGCTGATTAACGAGACACTGCTGGTTCAGTGCTTCTTTCATTGTCTGTCTAGTCCAATTCATCCCAAACATCACTAACTAAAACACCATCAGATACAAGCCCTCACACTTCACAGCAACCATCATTCTTCAATACCTTAGCTGCTTTCGTATTCAAAGATAGCATTATCAGTCGACCGTAACAACCATTAACATCGTCCTCGCCAATATCAATACATTTATCACGTAAACCCTCCCTTTAGCGATGGTCCAATCAAAATGTTGGAATATTTGTCTCTGTTCGCTCTTAAAGGTATATGTTGAGGAGCTTTGACTGGCATATAGCCACACACATGAATCATATAACGAGGATTGATCGACCTACTCATTCTTAAATAAGTTCGTTAGTGTACTGTATTTCAAAACGGCTACGTAATTGTTTATCATTATTTAGCCCGACACAAGGTCACAAAAGAAGGCACTTGGTAAATGTCAAATTCGTTATATGACAGTAATGATTTACTTAAAAGATGTATCCTTTCAGAAGCTGAACATTACTTTCTACAGACACCCGTTTTTTATTATCCGTGACGATGGTGTAATGGATAGCAGCTCGGATTCAGGAAACGGCGGGCCGAGTTCAAATTCCAATCGAATCCATTGCATTCACTTACGTGCCATTAACCTTGGAAAAAGCTGAGAACTATGGGTAAATAGCAGGACAGACCGTGTTCTCTATTTACATTGTTCGGACTATCGCCCTCATCTTTGTTGCCACCTTTATCACAACGTTTCGGCCGTTGTACGCTCCAGCTTTCTTCAGGTGATTGGAATGTCGAACTTGTTTATTATTTTACGCCGCTGGCGTATTTTATTTTGTTGATTTTATAAAGATTACCGTTTCATTTCCAGCATCCGTTTTGGTTATTCCTCATTCATTTTCTAGGTTACAACAGAAAGAAGAGGAAGACAAAGATGAAGAAGGAGAGGAAGAAGAAAAGAATTAGTGAAAGTAACATTAGCAAAAAGAAGAAGAGGAAAAATAAGAAGAATAAAAAAAGAAGAAGAAGAAGTGTTATATACCGTACCTATGAACACTAATGTGCATGTCCCAATCCTCATAAATACGTTAGTAAGTGGGGGTAATATGCTGTATAAGGAGACCAACACTAGCAGTGGTTTACCTATTTCACGACGCTGGCGAGTATTTTACTTTGTTCATATTATAATGATTACCATTTCTTTTCCAACCTCCGTTTTGGTTATTTCTCATTCAGTAACCTTTTCTAAGTTACAACAATCCGTAAGGAAATTGTCTAGCCTTCACTACCGCATAGGAGGATAGATGTTCAGCTAAGTTTTTTTTTTTTTTTTTTTTAAATTTTTTTTTTTTTTTTTTGGTGTTTACGCAGATTGTCCTCTGTTTTATATTTTGTTTAACTTTTGGAAGGCACCTTCCGGTATTTCAGTACACCTTCCGATTCCTGT